TATATTTTGGTCCATAAATTGATTCCATGATTTATTTTTCAACTAAAATTGCTTGTTTGTTCTATGCTTTCATTTCAGAATGCAATGACACAAGAAACTGAATAATTTTCAGTAAAAAATTGGAAAAAGTGTGGTGTTCTAAAACTTTTGACCGGTCGTGTATATCCCTTAGATTTTGGCTTTTTTATTTTGGTCATTTATATATTTGGTGTTTTGGTCCTGTCTATCTCAAAGTCTACTTAAGATGCAAACAAATATTTGAAAACATTTTCTCATTATCCTTGTTCACATTGTTTATAAAAGTAACCTAATTCCATACTACATAATGCAATAATTCAAAGCAGGTTTTAGATATTTATTAAAGAAAGTTTAATCTTGGTGAATGCTGATCCAAGCACAAGAACTAATAGGGATAACAATTAGCTGCTGTCTTTTTGTGACGATTATTTCTCATGTCATCAAAGACAAATGTATCATGTCATTCACGATGTAGCATCTTGGCGTCTCTAGTTTTTAAATAGAGGAGCTCTGTATATTTCCATCAATAAACTTTCAAACTCTCAGAGCAGCTACTGTCTTCTTCAAACAAGCATCAACAGTCAACAAGGATCTTCAACAAACAGCCACAGTCTCTAAAACCAAAACACCACCAAATCCTCGACAGGTACCACAGTCTGCCACAGACCAGGCAGTACCAACAATCTACTGCTCTATTTTTTATAGAGTCTCACTTTCCCAGTGCCATGACCCAGAAAGGTTACCTAAAGCGCCAAGTAGGATCACCAACATTACAGGTCACCCACCTGGACTGAGGAGGGCCTTGGATGGGTCCCTGAAGGACAACAACCATCTGAAGGTGAAACTATATAACATGGGCCAATGCATTCAAGAGCTCCTCACTGACAAGGAGCAGTTCCCCCATCAGGCCCAGAGCAGTAAGAACCAAATCTGCAAGCTGGAGGAAAGTCTGATGAGCAGTGAGAGAAAAGCTAAAGAGTTGCAAGAACTGTTGGAGGCCCAGAGGGAGAAAGCCACCAACCAGCAGAAGGATGAGGCCTCTACAGAGAGCCAGAGTACAACCATGACATGGACCGACATCATGGGGGATATAGACAAAGCGAAAGAGCAGCTCAGTCAGAGATACAAAGATATCTCCAAACTTAAGATGGAGAAAAAGAGCCTCTCTGAGATGCTGATAGAAACGAGAAGCCTCCAGACAAAAGAGCAGCAAGAAGAGAAGGAGGCACTGGAGAAAGACAGAAAGGTGATGGAGGACAGAAATAAAGAACTGCAGGACGAAAACTGCAGGAAGAGAAGGAAAAGCTAGAAGACTTATAACTTCAGGAGGAGATGAGAAAGGTGAAGCAGAACAGCCCTTTAAGGGAGTAAATCAGCAACATGGACCGCTATATTAAAAAGCTCCTGGCTGAAAAGGGGCAGTTCATAGACCAGGAGCCACATTGACATGAGGAAGCTGGAGGACGAGCTGCTGGAGGCCGAGAGGCACAAAAACTCCAGACTCAACCTCTAGAGAGACAAGAACATTGAATTTGAGGAGCAGATCTGTGTGAGAGATCAGGAACTCCAGAGGCTCGATGGTCTGAATCAGAGTCTCTCTGCAACACTCTTCAGGAGCAGCTCCTGGAAAAGAAAAAAAACTGAATTCTAGCAGACAGAAGAGACCTGGAGGACTGAACACAACAATGTGGAGGAACTCAGGAAGGATGCTGTCCAGAGAGAGGAGGAGAAAAAAGAGAAGAACCAGATGACAAGAATGGAAGACAAGAATAAGGAGCTGCAGGAGCTTTGCTCAAACAAGAAAAACAAAAGAAGATTCATCAAGTTTTTCCAGAACAGAAAGGCAGAAGAAGAAAAAAAAAAGGACACAACAGACTATCCATCCATTTTCTATACACCGCTTCATCCTCACTAGGGTCGCGGGGGGCTGGAGCCTATCCCAGCCAACTTAGGGCGAAGGCAGGGGACACCCTGGACAGGTCGCCGGTCTATCGCAGGGCTACACTTAGAGACAGACAACCAAGCACACTCACATTCACAGCTACGGACAATTTAAAATCACCAATTAACCTCAGGATGTTTTTGGACTTGTGGGAGGAAGCCGGAGAACCCGGAGAGAACCCACGCTGCACAGGGAGAACATGCAAAACTCCACGCAGAAAAATTCCGGTGCCCCCACCGTGACACGAACTGGCAACCTTCTTGCTGCGAGGCAACAGTGCTAACCAACTGCGCCACCTTGCAGCCCACCACAACAGACTAAAAAGAAGAAAAAGAAAAAGCAGGTTGTTGCCACAGAAAAAGCAGAATTACAGCGACAGGAAGGTGGAGGATGGACAAAAGCAGCTCCCTCTGCCTTTCCCCTTCTCCACCTCCTCACCCTCTCTCCCTCCATCAAACCTGACCTCTCAAGCCTCTCTAACCACCAACCCAACCAACACCAACCTTTTCTTTTCTTCTACCCCCATCCCATCTATTACCATTACATTTCCTTCTACACCCTATCTCTTGTAATATCGCCTTTCTTACCTCTTTTCTTGTTTTTTTTTAAACCCCCCTGCTTCAAGTGGAATTTTGTGCAGCAACTTAATGTGTGAGCAAATGTACAGTTATAGTAACTGCATAAGAGTTTACCTTCATATGTATTAATGTGCCCTCTTTACAAGGCACTGGATCAAAATACTATGGGCCCTGCGCTGAAACTATTAAGCTGATGAACTCAAATTATTGATATAATGTGATAAAAAACTTTCCCTCGAAGAACATGACTTCTGAAACTCTTGTGATACACTCAGCTGAAAGAACACAAACCTGACAACAGGCAACAGCAGTTTTATTTGGCCTGTCTTCACATTACTCACGGAATTAATCAGCGACAGCTGGTACGAGGTGTCACAGTGATGTTTGTCATTTTAAACAGTGAAAGTGACGACCAGCACTGCTAAAATGAGAAGCTGCTTCAAAAATGTTTTGTGCTGTGACATTAATGAGAAGAAGACAGGACAAAGTCAATTTAGATTTCAGCTATTTACATATGTCTGAATTTGCCTGGATACTGATCCTTAGACATGCACACAGGATTGGTTGTCTTGTACTTCTTCTGCATCTGTGTAAGAAATAAAAATAAATTCAGCGTCAGATATTTTGTGGGACTCACCCACTATCTGTGGCAGTGAGTAGCCTTCCAGGTCAAGCAGAATGCTTCCAGTCTGCAGGCAGGTCCTGAGCTCAAACAGGCTGTGGAGGGTCAGTGTGGAGACATGAGGCTTGCTCCATCTCTCTCCTCCCTCCTCCACCTTCTCCTCAAATTTCACCCACCTATAGCAAAGAGAAATAAAAGAGGTTTGGAGCAAGAATTCAGTAAATGCAATGGAGTTATTTGACTGTTAACAGCATGATTGATTTTTCAGGTTCTAGGAGAGTCAGCCAGCAGGATGCTGTTATGTAAGTTAAACTGTAGCTTCAATCCAGTGTAGACCTCTGTCACCCACCACCCTTGAAGTCTGAAATGCAACCTTTAACCCCTAAATCCCATCAAATATGAACCAAAATTCTAAACTAATGAAAGTTCTGACACTCTGACGCCTGTATGTGTGTTTGAGCATACCTCGCAGACTCTTTCCACTCTAACTCGCCCCCCTCGTGCTGTAGTGTGTCCATCTCAGTGAATAATGTGGGTGTTGGGGCGCTGTCATCCTCACCCAGGATGTGGCGCAGCCGCTCTGCAGCAGGGGACACTGCAAAATGGAGGCCAAACAATAGACGGTCAGTTTTTATCAAAAACCTGGTTGGAGTCACGCCAGAAGAAAGCAACCAGACATGGACATGTTTGAAAAGAAAAGCTACAACAAGTATGCTAACGTGGGATTCAGGAATTATGGCAGTTTGACGAAATGGCAAATACATTTTGATCCATAGAACAATAAAACAAAAATTTCCATCCAGATCAATAAGTAAACTGGGACAGGCTCCAGCTCCCCACGACCCTACAGATGATAAAGCAGTGTATAGATAATTGATGGATGGACGGTTTCATTTCAATTAGCCTCAGCACATATTCAGTGCTTCTTCGCAAAAATAGCATGATAGCTTGCTAAATCCAGATGGTGAACATTGTCATGGAGGATATTAAATTGACAGACCAGTTGAGAACACTGTAAACCAACTGGCATATGTATTTGAACCAGTACAACATGGAAACCATGCAATGTTAACTTTACTGCTTGATCGTAAGTTTTTTTTTAATGGTAAAAATGAGCTGAAAGGGTTTTTGCACACACTGCAAAGTGAAGAAACATGAGGAAGATAACAGAATCCAATTACCTGACGATGGCATGTATAATTGTGTTTATGACAATGAAGGCCTTAAATCTTGAGTCTTGGATCTTGAATAAATTATCTAAAGTTTGTCTTGATTGACTGCTTTGGAAAATGTAAAGTCAAGAAATATTTTTTGAGGTTTGTATCAGCTCATTAGCAACATTTTGATTAATTATTGTTTTTTAGACATATCAAGCCAGAAGAAAGAAAAATAGAAATGTAAAAATCACTGCAAAACACTGTTTAATATGTGCATATACGAGATATATGCTGCTGCTTATGACACCACAGCTCAAAGGTGCTAATTGCTAAAAGTAAAACAACATGCTTCTGGTTCAGGAGTTTTCCAGGAACACAGCAGTCAGAGAAGAGACCATCAGAGTGAGTAATGGAAATATTTGACACAGTAAACAAAGCTCAAAGAAACACTAAAACATCTCTGCCCCTAAAAGTCTGAGAGGGCTAAATCTGGGCCAACGAAATGAACTATTGTTGCACATTCTCAACAGTGCAGAAAATTAAACATACTTTTAACACTTTAGTACATTGATATAAACTGGTTGTTTAATTTAACTCTCTAAGCCCTAAAATCTACCAGTAGGTTTGAAAACCGTGTTTCGTCTTTAAAACAACAAAAAAAATATTTGCACCGAATTCTGTGAAAATGTTGTTTAAAAATCTACATTTTATGGCGCAACGGGGAAGCCATGACGGACTCAGCTGTGAGCAGTCAATTCAGAAATCAATCAATAAAATAAACGTAGCATGGACCAAAAATGGTACAAAAGAGAAAGCTGTTGGAAGATACATTCAGTATTGTGAAATATTGTTCCAGAGTCAATGGGCAGAGTAATATAAAAACAATTAAAGTAAGTTTATTGCTATAGCATGTGGTGACACCACTTTTTCCCAGTGTTGATTTTGAATGATTTATGTCATTAAATCTGTCATACTGCACAGAAGGCATTTCTGAGTTCCCCCTACGTCCAGCCATGGTTGTGCTGTGTCCATAGAGATTCTGGACTTGCTGAGTCTATATTATGTAATTTAATTGTGGGATAATTTAATCATAAATTACACAGAATATGCCTCGGACTAATGGGCTAACAAGACAGCCATTGAGTTTTCCTTTCCTTTCAAGACACTGGAAACAGACACATCTCATTTAAACAATCCCTGTTAGCCATCTTTAAATGAGCAAGAGAGTCAGCTCCTCTAATGACTATTTGATAGCAATGTGTAATCTATCAGCTGGGACCTTTTTCTAATTTTACTCTGAGCAGATCAATCTCCATTAACATCCTGAGCCTGAAGGCAAAGTCCACTTGCACTCCCACCACTGTTTGAATAGTGTGTCTGTGTGTATGTATAAGTGGTCTATCAACACAAGAATGTGTGTGTTGTCAGTCTCCAAGTTTCTTGTTTGTTCCTCCTTTAAAATGAGAGTTAAAAGAGTCAAAAGTCGATAACACATTAATGCATAGATCTGAAAGATCCCAGTTTTAACCTCAAATGTCACAAGCCTCGTGTGACAGTGACGTTCACAGTCTCAATCAGCACTCCCATGTATCGGGAACAATTATGTAATCATGGTTAACGGCAGTGTGGTGTATAATTATAATACAATACTATGTTCCACAATGCAACCAACACCTTAATGGAAGCAGCTGCAGTTTCCATGTTCATGTCAGGTTGGGTCACAGTAGTGTTTGCTTATGTTATTGCATTATTATCAGAAGTTTAGATACTTATGTGTCTGAAATTGAATCTCTGACCAGCCAATGTAATCCCACAGAGGGAGGTCAGGGTGTATTATGTTTGCAATGTTATGGGTCAACTCGGGGCCACTGGGTAAAGTGCAAACGTATATTACCTGCTAGTAGTTAATAAGTCATACCTATGCAAATGACGAAAAGCTGCACTAATAAATAATTTTTAAATTAACAATGGATGAAACAAGATTTATAAGCATTCAGAATATTGCCATTCAACTTTGCAGTTCACTTCTACAGAGCATTTCAGCTCATTGTTTTGGTTCTCTAAACCACAAACTCCACCCTTATTATCTTCATTTCTAGCAGCAGGCAGCAGTTTTTCATGAAAAAGCTATTGAAAACTGACATTATGCTGCTTGGTCAGCACCAAATAGCACAAAGTATAGATACAGTAAGTCTGTGAGTAACACACACTTGGGTTAGAAACCAAACCAAAAGTGTCTGAAAGCTGATAAGATAAATATTACTAGTTGTTTTGGTGCCATAATCTCCATTAATTGCCAAATTAAGAGGTAGAAAATATTTTCTTTCAGCTCAGTGTACTGTATAATTAGCTTATTAGTACCAGGTGATCTGCTCAGCGTCTCGATTTTAACAAGGTGGTGGATAGCTGCACAGAAACTGTTGAGGAAGAACAAAACAAAGTACTAAGGGAAGACAGCCCACAATGTAACCGTGTTTATAGCTGTCTGAAGAATAATGCAAAGATTTATCAGGTTCAATGATCAACACATTGTTGACTAGTTTGATTTGATATTTTATATTAACACATCATTCAGCCTGTCTCATTTAAATGTAATTTGTATTTGCCAAAAATAAATCATTTGCACCACATTCAGAACAAATTTAGCATGTTACACGCAGGGTATTTTTTTTTGTATTTACCCTTTACATTTTATATATGGGATAAAGGGATGTGAATAGTGTCAGTTTCAATGATACTGCAAATAAAACAGAAGTTGTGTTATAAGATACATTTGAATGCATGTTGTTGGTAGTTATTAAACACATAGAAAATAGTTAAATTCAGCTCCATTTGTAAAAGTAATACATGTAATGCTTGAGCTAATTTCCTTTATTGTCCATCCACCCTGCTCAGGTCGCCAGTCTATTACAAGGCGACACTCAGAGACAGACCACCAAGCACTCTCACATTCACACCTATGGACAATTTAGAATCATCAATTAACCTCAACATGTTTTTGGACTGTGTGGAAGGAAGCCGGAGAGAGGAGAGGAGACGAGAGCTGCATGGGGAGAACATGTAAACTCCATCCAGAAAGGTCCCGGGTGTCCTCACTGGGATGCGAACAGGTAACCTTCTTGCTGCGAGGCAACAATGCTAACCACCGAGCACCTTGCAGCCCCCTTTGTAGCTTTATGATTGTAAACTGAACTATTTTTTAAATGAGCTCGGGATCCTGTGATTCCTATATGCCAGTTCAGTTGATGGTTAGACCATTAAAGTCACACTGAAGACCAGCCAAGTCAGTTGTTTTTAGATTGTTTCAGTTTACGTTTATCTGAGTCCAGCCTGATTTTTGAGTGCAGCATGTGCTTCCCAGTCCAACCATGAAGCAATTATAGAAGAGCAGGACTTTGTGGTAATAAGCAACATTACACACACAGAACATCCTAAGCATGCAATGTTTTTATTTTTCTTTTAAAAACAACTCTTTACAAGATTTGGAGATAAAACTAATTAATGTTATGTTCCTTACTAACATCTGGTAAATCAAGTAGAAGTAAATGCAATGATCATGTAATTCAGTCTAATTAACATGTAGTCAGTTACCCTTCATTGCATTTTCACTGAAACATGTCATGTTTCCCCTCTTCTGTATTTCCATCTTTACCTATTTGGGAGCCAGGTATGGTCCAGCGGGAGGCCATAATTGAAGGAAAAGAGACCCCAGAATCCTCCATGCTTGCCAGATCCTTTGACAGGAGACCCAAAACTAGATCCTTGGGTTTGCTTTGGATAGAGAAGTCTTCTGTTTCCTTGTCCTCTTGATATAGTTGAGAGTCCTTGACTCACTGCTCTTTGCTTTCCACCATGAGTGGAAATAAGTGACACACTATCACTCCTTCTCAAATACGTCTTTTCAGCTTGTTTCTCTGCTTTGCTGCTTTAACAGCCTCTTCTTCAGGGATTATTCCGCAGCTAGTTCTATTGTTTCAATCAGCCATGTAGGTTTGGGGTGTAGTTGGTCTAAGAAAGACCTGCACCATTCAGTCAGTTGGAAAAGGTCTTCTGTAAGCTGTGGTAGAAATCCACTAAAATCTCCAAAGCAGCAAAGAGCCAGAGGCTTTAAGAGGGTTGACACACACCACAGGGCCCTCTAGTACTCTCCTCCCATGCACACATACTCCTACTCACACGCAAGAAAAGCAAAGACATCCTCACCAACATAAACTCTACTTTCTGTCTCTGATGACTCCAGCAGTCCTACATTCAGTACAGGCAACTATCCACTTCAGGCCTCATGTTGTATTTCTTAGAAATCCTGACTGAAATAAGTAAAAACACAAAGCATGCCACACACAAAACACCCCAAATAACATGCATGCACACACACACGCACGCACATCACACACACACAGCTTGGAGTTCCTCAGCTCTAATCAGCTTACAGGCTTCAGACTTCATGGCCCCTTGGGAACAGGGACCATGCTGCAAAATATTCATTACATACATGCATGCACCAGCAACTTCTACTTCACTGCACACTGTTAACATACAGAATAGCACACATCAGGCTGGCTCATAAGCCCCTCACTACTGCATGTACATTTACCTATGCAGTAAAATTTTTAAGTAAGTCTGTGATGTCTCCTTTTTCACTGAATTCCTCCTTAGAGCCGCAGCAGGAGCAATGCATTATTATGCTTTCAGGATGTGTGAACACTATATCTGTTGAGTGCCTTAGAAGAAAGTCTAGCTATCGACCTCGGGCCCTGTTGGGGCGGTTGTATCAGGCAGTTTTTGTTGGTCGAGCATAGTGAGCGTGAGGGATGAGAGAGCTCAGGTAGAAGGGAGCTGTTCTCATTGTGGTTTTGTAAGCAAGTTTAATCTGTACAAGTATTATTGGCAATTAATCTGCAGTTGCACACTTGAATAAACACTCAGTGTGACTTACGGTTTTCTTTCTTTACTTGTACAAAATATCGAAATAACAGCACATTACATCGTGACATGTTTCTGTCCAGTCGCTTAGTACCACAGCACAGTGTACCTTTCTTTACATTTGACAGAAGCACTTGAGAAGGAATACTCCCTGTTGCGGCAAGAAAGAGCAACAACACCTATTTCTTATGTACTGTGTCTAAGTGAAGGAACTAGGAGCACAGTTACTATTTTGGTAAAGACACACCAAACACCATGTGTCTTAGTAGAATAGCCATTTTAAATTATAAAGAACAATTTTATGTTTTACTCTCAATAACATGAAATGAAATAAACAAATAAACAAAGTGAAACAAAATATGTGGGTGGCTTTTGATTCAAACCTCATCTGTGACCTTTCTATCCTATGAACTTATGCTTACACGATTAACCAATACTCATTAGCATTGCTAGCTGGAGGCACACAAATGCGGTTCACTATTTGTAATTCAAGACCATTTTTAAGCATTAGCCACGAAACGAAAAATGCAAAACAGAAAAAATTGTTTTCACTAGAAGGGTATGTTCACCCCTAATAGCAAATTATGAATCGAAGTGTCCACATTTAAGTCAAAAACTGTATGAATGCAAAAATTGTTACATTTGTCATGTAAGTAGGACATAAGAATGGGCAAAGCATTCCTTTGTGTGCATGTACATTCTTCAGTCACTGATGACACTGATGCTTTCACAGTGAAGTAAATGTTTAAAATGTTTACCTGTTTAAAAGTCACACACAACAGTTTTACAAAACTAGCCTTTTACCTTAACCCATAACTTCAAAATATTTTCTAACCTGAGGGATCAACGTGCTCATGACGCTCCGAACTGCCCTCGTCGTCGTTATAGTGCTCATCTCTCTCGTGGTAATATCCTCGGTGAGAGTGTTCACGGTGTGTGTGATGATCATAGTGTGTGTGTCGTGAGTCACGGTCAGCCTCACTGGCATAGGAGTGATGTCTGCGCCTTTTCCGTCTGTGAGAAACCGGAACACCAATGTAGAATGGCTGGGCATCTGCAAAAAACAGAGAAAGGATGTTTAAGAGCCAGATCAATACACTTACAACTTGTGAAAGCTGAGAGCTGATTAGTGAACAAGCAAAGACACACACATTAACAGGAATGTCCACAGGTTTAACTCCCACAGCCATTAAATTAGCGGGACACTGACAAAATTGTTTCCAGCAGGTGCAGGTGACTGAATGGGTCCAGCAGAGGCCAAAATTTTAATTATTGGTTCGTGAAAGTCGCAAAAGTCTTAAACAAGGGTGGTATTACGACCTCACATCCTGTTAGTGTGGAAATGTATCCATATGTTACGCTATGAGATGACTGTTGTTGTAAATATGCGCTATACAAATAAAATTGAATTGAATTGAATATGTCCAATAAAAAATAGAATAGAATAAAATAGAATAGAATAGAATAGAATAGAATAAAACTTTATTGATCCCTTTGGTGTAAAACCTCAGGGAAAATTTTAGAAAATACAATAAATACAATCTTTGGTCAACATTTTACAAACTTGTATGTTAATAACATTAGTGAAATTTGATTCGTGGCAAGTATCGTAAGCCAAGGTTCCAGTTTTTGCAATTTTGACATGCTGAAAAGGTGATGCGGACTCATAGGACTACAAAAACTGGTGTGAATGGGAGTCTACAGCTTGTCATTATATGTGGAAGATATTGAACCCTAAGAATGGCTTCTCATGTTAGTCCTGTTTTTTGAGTGTTTTTTGAGAACTTAGTTTTGGGTCCCAAATGAAATGTGGTGGAGCAACATATTTCTATGGAGTGGCCCATTTATTACCTGACTCTCAGTTCTACTACTAATGGAGTGGACAAAGGATTACACCTAAACCCTACCCTCTGAATAAATGATAATGTTGCTCTGTGCCGACACATGTTCATATTCTCCATAAAAACTCCTAAATGTGTTGTGCTGCTGCCAAGTGGCCAAATAATAAATAAATGCAGGGTTAAGAGCCTTTGTGTAAGTTGGTATTGTGGTTTGGTCGTGCATATTTAAATTTTCTTAAAGTTACAGCTAAACACATTACTGTACCATACAGTACTGTCCTATTCTATCGTGGGATTGAGGCTTTAAGGGCTTTCAGGACAGTGGCTCCTTCTTTGTTTAAGGGTTACTGTGTTTTCACACCTTCATCATCGTCGTAGCGCCTGTGACCTCTACTTCTCCCTCTCTGCCAGTCATGATGATCCATCCTGAAACAGACATGCAAGAACATGGAGAATGATGACTGAGAAACAATGAAAGTTGGAGGTGACCATGTTCCCTCTGTGATGCTTTATCACCACATACCTAAAATAAACCATTATATACTGCATGTGTCCACTGCTTATGTATTCTGTTTGTAAAAAATTCTTTGCTTAGGGAATTCTCTGAATTTACAGTAACTTATACTGCACCATGCAAGCTGCAGGCCCACATGGCCACACATGTGCCACTGCAACCTCAAAAGATCAATGGATGACCAAAGGAAAACTCAATGGAAAACCCCCAGCACCCCCTCAGGAACATACTGCTGCACAGGCTATGAAACCAAAAGGAAACAGCTAAGATGCAAACACCAGTAATAAGAACAAGTTTTAGGGTGCCAGGTTGCAAACTTGTACCGCTTTCTCTGAAAGATTTCCTGTAATAAAGTGTTTATAAGTTGCAACTAATGGTTAATAAATCATCTACTAATGCTTTATACGACTGATATACATTTAGTGTAGATATTTAAATCTTGGTGTCAAACTTTACAATAACACAAACTCCAATGATACATTGTGTTGGAATGTCCTTTTTATGCTTTACATGTTTAATTAAAAGTTGTTTTTTTAACACTTATCCTTCTGTGTTGATGGGCTAACACTTATGACTTGTGAGTGGGTGGGTAGTGCTGTGGATGAAACATCCATCCATTTTCTATACACCGCTTAATCCTCACTAGGGTCGCGGGGGGGCTGGAGCCTATCTCAGCCAACTTAGGGCGAAGGCAGAGGACACCCTGGACAGGTCGCCATTCTATCACAGGGCTACACTTAGAGACAGACAACCAAGCACACTCACATTCACACCTACGGACAATTTAGAATCACCAATTAACCTCAACATGTTTTTGGACTGTGTGGGAGGAAGCCGGAGAACCTGGAGAGAACCCACGTGGCACGGGGAGAACATGCAAACTCCACGCAGAAAGATTCCAGTGCCCCCACCAGGACGCAAACCGGCAACCTTCTTGCTGCGAGGCAACAGTGCTAACCAACTGCGCCACCCTGCAGCCCATGGATGAAACACTGCTAAAGAAATCATGTTGTCATCAAAAAAAAATGAAAGTCTCCAAAACAATGCCACTTATGTACCAGAAATCGAAAAGATTAAAACAACTGACAGACTTTCAAGGTTCCAACAGTCTTTCAACTACTGTGATGTACCACTCCAATGGGAAAATTATCAAAATCTAAGCTTAAAATCATTTTATTTAATTAAAATCACTTTATTCAACATGTTTCATTAAAGAAAATGCCAAAAATGCTCAAATCAGATTCTTTAAAAAAAAAACTAAACAATTCTGGGCTCCTCAGTACAACTTAGAAGCCATTAGATTTTACAGCAGTGAGATGACAAAAGTTCGAGCACTTTCAGCTGCACTGTAGGCTGTGTTGCCCAGAGCAGAGAGGAGACAAGCATGAAAACAATTAAAAAACGTAAGAATAAAAATGTTGGATATACTATTTCAGGCTTTTACAATTTTTGCAAAGCAAATAATCAAAGAAGCCATTTTTAAAAATGTTTATGATTTAGGGGACTTTAACTGTGTCATACTGCACTACTTCTGAGTTCTTTCTGCTTCCAGCCATGTTTCCATAGAGGTGTAGGACTTTATATTGCAGTGAAAGTGACTGGAGCAAAAAAGGAACTGAAACTGCTTTCTGTTAATAGAGTTAACTAAGGATGCACAATGTTGGATTTTTGCTGATATCTAATAATCCAATATACTAAGCAAAACTAATCTTGGCCAACTGCCTGTTCCCTGCATAGATTTTTTCCATGTAATTGCAGAGAACATCAGGTTTCTAGCATTGGAACTAAAATATTGCTATGCCCAGTCTTATCATGATGGTCCACTGACAGGTTCAGACATACAACACAAAGCTTTTCCATTGTACACATCGGAAAAAAGAAAATTGCTTGATTTTACATGTAAAGTTGCCATATTGATTTCTATGCAACAATTCCAAACTGAACTACAAACTTTTAACCCATGAGGCAATGTCTGCCTGTCGGCATTGGGCTGACGCCAGTGTTTCATATTAAAGCTTTTATCACTCGAGAATATTGCTGATATAATTATACATTAGAACAGTCATCAGTTATTCCTTCTATAAAAAGGCACCTTAAAGTGGTATTTTTATTATGTTCCATGACTCAGCTGGCTTCAGTACTTAAGTATGACTGCAATTCAAGATCATTACCATGATTTACTGCTGTTATAAAGCCAGGACAAAAAAGCATTATGCAAATGTCACCCAGACATATCATAGTCATTTGGCCACGATGAACTGATCACTGAGTGTTCCTCCGCATTCATGACATAAGCTTCTCTTTCTGAAGCTGATTTGGGGGAGTTTTCTAGGCTGATCAATATATGTCATTTCAGATTGCTAGCTAGTTCCTGAAGCCTGACCACTGACTGTGAAGGACAGTCACATGAGTGTAGTCATGCACACATACACATGGGCACAACCACATGCGCACACACAGGGTAATGAGATGTTTAGCATACCATTACACTTAGCATTTCAAATTGGTTAATAATATGCTTGGGATTATAAATTTGTCAAGCCAACACAGTTTATCTACTACATGTATCTCCTGTAGCCTAGATAATGATCTTCCTTAAGTTTCTTCTATTTTTCACCATTACTTATCTGAACTCCAAGCAGTTTCTATGTGTTTTTTGCTTCTGTGACATTTTTCCTTACTGAGGGTTCATTTTTACTGTAATATAAAGCTCGGCACCTCTATGGAAACTGTCCAGTATTGCACCATTTTAATGCTGTAAATCATGAAAAAGATAAAGTTCTGTTTATTTGATTATTTGTTGTCCAAAATAAAATGGAGGAAAAAAAGTGGAATCAATATGTGCAAAATTTTTGCATGTGCCCACAAGTGTTACCAATTTTGAAGAAAAAAAGTGGGTTCTTCACATGCTGTTGATCGGCTATTTGACTAGGCCTATATACATTTTTACAAGCTCTGCAAATTAGGCATTCTTCACACTACTCTGCTCATCAACTCTAGAAAGATGTTTCACTATGCTGAATATATCACCCGTCAACTTGCTCCTCTGTATACCATTTGAGCCATGCTACATTTATTTTATTAAACCCTTATATTTTATTTTCCTCTTAGTCTCTTTTGTCATCTCCTTTCTGCTCTGTGGAAACACTGTCATCAGTTCACCTAAAACAGAATTTTTGTCACAGCTGAGTTAGTCAGGGCTTTTCAGTTGTACTGAAGTTCTCAAAATGTTTGCTTTCCCCCCCTTGTTGGGGAATATTTTGGAGTGATTTTTACCACAATTCTTATCTTAGATTTGACTAATGTCAATGACAGAGCGGCATTTCACACATTTAGTTCCAGGATTGTTGAAACGTTTAAGATTCAGAGATACTTTCTGTTTTTACAGTAAAGGTAACATGTCTGCAGGGTTTTTTTATGTGCACTTATTTTAATCAAATTACAATTCAACACACAGTTTTTTGACTAACTATTCTACTTACGATTGAGCCTCAGTTTAAAATAAAATTGCACTGATAGATTTACTGTGAATTTATTTTAAAAGGTGAATAACTTTTTTGCAGAACATTAGAGGTGCAATGTTTGAACGATTAGCTGTCAACTATTGAATTAATTATCAGCAGTTCTGATACTCGACTGATCAGTTTAAATGATTTTTTAAGAAAAGAAAATTAAATTCTCTGATTGCAGCTTTTTAAATGTGAATATTTTCTGGTTTCTTTTCTCCTTTATGACAGTAGACTGAATATCTTAGGGTTATGGACAAAATAACACATCTCTGAATATCAACTTCAGCTTCAGAAAACACTGACAATCATTTTCAGAATATGCATATGTCAGATTAATGACAACTATAATGAATTAACAATGGAAATTTGTAAGATGCAGTATTACAGCTCATATTGCAGACAATGCATTCCAAACACACAAGTCATTTAGAAAAAATACAGTCCCAAAAAATCCAATTCATCTGTCATTATTACAAAGTAATACGTTTTAGATATTAGTTGTGTGCTCTTAAAATTAAATTACCTCTGACAAGTTTTCTGCCTTTTCATAAAAGTAAATTGATAAATTGGTACATCTGTTCAAAAATAGCGGCTTTCCTCAATTCTTAAGAGGCTGAAGACTTAAAGGGACAAAGTCTTGCACAAATAAGGATTTACAACTGCTGCTTACATTTTTTTTTGTGTAAGATCACATGTTAAAACCATGTTACAAACCTCTAGTTGCATATTATACAAACAAATTAGTCCGTTTTTGAGTAGAAGATTACTACGTGAGAGAAAATACATTTTTATCTCAGACAGCTTTAAATCAACATCAAAACTCTTCAAAAAAGCATAAAACACTACATTCTAAAAATGAGTGTAAAGGTTATGTCTTACCTGATGTAAGAGATGAAGCTGAGACAACCAGAGCTAAGAGACTACTGCAAGGTTTTTATAATGTAAAGTCACTAAATGCTCAGAAAACTTTACTTTAGTGCTGTTCTGAATATAATGTTTGGCGCAAAACGTTGCAACTGAAAACCAACAAACTCCCTCAATGGCGGCACAGATGATCTGACTATTGAGTACTGGCTATGTGTGTGTTACGAAGTGTTGTGGGGTTGGGCGTGGGTGTAGTAACAGTGCGTAGAGTGGGATCAATTCAGTCTGTGGGGCATCCATTCATACTGTATGCAGTTTTCTATTGTGAAAATAACCAGTGAAAGTATATTTAGTCCAGTAGTTGTACTAAATATAGTGTTATATTTCACAATGTATTTTTATTATTTTTATTTTTTGTGTTATCTTTTATTTATCTTCTATGACATTTACTACTCATCAAATATTTTTCTGTGCCTTACCCTCTAAATCTATTTTTTACTATCCCATGTTTTGTCAATCACTTGAAAAGCACTTTAAA